CACTTGGAGTTCTTGCACTTGATTGATTACTGTTTTGGAGTCCACCATCTTATACTCCAAGAATCGGCCAACAATGAACTTCTTGGTCCCGGTATCCTTAGTTTTATATTTCCGGTCCAATGACTCACATAACTCTTTAGCAGTTTTCATACTACTATACACATTGTATAGCGAATATGCTAAACTGTTCATGATATAATTTCGGCACAAAAAATCCGAATGTTTTCACGCATCAAGTGCATCAAGAAGCATCAATAAACCTCTCGAGATTAATCAAATTTACCATCACAGATAACTTGAATTTGAACATGCAAAGATACATTAAAAACCCAAGAACATTAATTTGTTTATGGAAAATATAAACAATTTATTCGTAATGTCTATTGGACCTTACTATGAATATTATCACACACTCTCTTTCTTTTCTTGCCTCCCAAACAACAAAAGAAATCAGACATCAATTCAATTATTTGTCAAATAATTGAAAGTATTAAGAGCATAACAAACATTCCGTACCAAATAATTGTCTTAAAGTCAAAGTCATATAATTAGGATGTGTTTGAGTCACGTTATTTTGGAAGAATATATTTTGAAATAGTAAATTGATGGAGATGTGTGGTTGAAAAAGAAGGAAAAGTTATTGATGTGATGGAAAATATTATTTTATTAAAGAATGTATGGTTGAAAATGAGTAGAAAAATGAGAATGAAAATTTTAATGTGGCTCAAATATGAGCTTATTGTCAAAATATCAAAATATAAAGTTTAACGTTATCCTATTATCTAATCAACTAGCCAAAAATCATAAGATACGATATGAAACATGGGCTAAGTCTAAAAATGGACCGTTATTCTCGAATCTATACTATTTCCTTTCCAGTTCTCTCTCTTCTTCCTTTATATCCTAAATTTCTTTTAGCCCTTTTCCCTCAACTTGTTCATGAAGTAGTTCTTTGAGATCTCAGTTGATATTGTCAAATATAATCCATGGCCCATGATATAATTTAATTAAGAAAACACGAACTTTTATAGACTTCCTAAAGAAAAAACAGAATTTCGGAAAGATGTGGAGGACATCTTTGAATCTGTTCAAACATAGCATGGTGCCGGCGGCGCTCGGGAAGATGGGTAGTTTTCTGAACCCATATTCGGATTGCTTTCGTTTTGTTGGATCCACTAGATTGATGGGTCCGTCATTTTGTTTCTATAGCTCCACCGTGAGCGGCGATAGTAAAAGTGAGAATGGTGATAGTTGTAAATGTAATACGATGACGTATGCGGAATCAAAGAGGTTGATAAGGCTGGTCAATTTGGAGGAGTTGAAGGAGAAGCTGGGGATGGATAACAAGGAAATGATTTGCTACTCTGAGCTTTTACAGGCCTGTGAGAGTATGGGTGTCGCCAAGTCGGCCGATGAGGCAGCCGCCTTCGCTCGAGTTCTTGATGAGGCCGGGATCATTTTACTCTTCCGGGACAAAGTATACCTGCACCCCGATAAGGTTATATAGTTTGTACCATCTTTATCTGTATCTATATGTTTATATGTGACCCTATTTTATTCTTGGATATGGGAGAATGGGTGCAGATCAGTGGATAAAGGGTTTGATGTTCCACAAGAGCTTTGCGGGGTATGTGTGATTTTTGCTTTATATTTGTGTTGATGGTGGGGCTTAGGAAAAAATAAAGACAATTCTTCCCCCTAACCCCAAACGCAAAAGGTGATCAACTACTATGATGAGATGATTGATGGATCACAGAGGGCAGAAATAATTAGATTACCTGTTGAGTGTGGGAGCAAATGGAAAACTATGAAATTGAAATGAGTTAGATAGAACTGCAGTCAAAGTTGTTAATTGCATATATTCCTCTCGGACCACTCTCGTCCCTGGGGTACTTGGTTTTTTGTTGTATATCCTGGTATGTTTGGGCTTGATTCTGTTCAATGGCTATTCGGTTATGTTTTCATCTTCAAAGACTTAATAATATCTTAAACAAAAATTAAAAATCTTTTCTGTTACTAGTGTGTGCTAATTTTTCCATGCCAATAGGCTAAAATCAAGCTTTAGGTGGATCTTTAGAGCTTTCCGAGGCATTAACTCGTGATTTGAATGAATTACTACATAAATATCTCATTTGTCATCTTATTGATTTGTTGCAGAAACATTTTTGATTGTTTGCTCGTTTACAAATTGCTGATTTTAATTTAACTTTTCATGTTCTTTTCCATCTTCAATGAGTATGCATTCTGCTTGGCAGCGAAAAAGGAATAGAAAATTAACTTCTGTTAGTTGAATGAAGCTGATGGTCTATTCTCATGCTTCAAAACGAAAATGTTAATGATTTTATGAATTTAGCTGGTTTGATTTAAGCTACTTTTCAGTTTCTAGTTAGTTGCCAAATATGATAACCTGATCCCTTGAATTTTCTCAGCCCTTGTGGTGACCTTGAGATGAATTGAATACGATATTAGGTGCAATTTAGAGAGGCACTTCAATGTATAGATATTATTCCCAATCGAAGTTATGAATGGATTTGCGTCTCAAAGTTGTGTGGGTTCATATCTATTTTCTTGATTTCATTTTTCAGGTGGTTGACCTTGTAAGAAAGGCAGTGCCTCTTGCACTGTTACCTGAAGATGACCCGAGTAAGTATGAGCTGAAGAAGTTGCAAGAGAAGAAAGAAGAAATCGATGTTCTAGCTCATAAGCAGGTATGCCGTATTTTGTGGACCGGACTGGGGCTTGCAGTGTTGCAAGTCGGGCTCTTCTTTCGTCTAACTTTCTGGGAATTTTCTTGGGATGTTATGGAGCCAATTGCATTTTTCACAACCACTACTGGGATAGTCATAGGCTATGCTTACTTCCTGATCACTTCAAGGGACCCGACTTACCAAGACCTGCTCAAGAGGCTCTTTCTCTCACGGCAAAGAAAGCTCATCAAGAAGCATAATTTTGATGTTCTGAAGTTTGTGGAATTACAGGAAAAATGCAAATTACCTGTGCACACACGTGTCTTTAGAAGAACCAGAGGATCTTTTACCTGGCCATTAAAACCATATAGTTGCTTCAGCTTCTTCAATCTTATTTTTTAAATATGTATAGTTTCAGAGTCAACTAAAAGCTCCCATTTTCTTTGAGGGAGACATATTTTCTTGCTGCTTCATGTGCCAGATCTTGAAATTGGACTCTGGTCATTTGAAATCCTTTTTCTAGAGAGAACTTGGAAAGGATTAATGCTGACATGTGGCAATTCATTTTGTTATGCTTATAATCTTCAGCTGTCAAATATTATCTTGTATCCATATACAGATTTCACATGAATTAGATTCATAATTTCCGTTTTCTAATCTGTGATATCCTAATTATGTTGCAAAACCGTATGGGCAGGTGCTTTTGAGAATATCTTTGCCCTTGCATATTTGAACTTACCAGGAGATAAAATAAATCAATAAGATACCAGATTACGATAATGGCATGTTGCATATTATGTTCTGGAGTTATTTCTTACTCTAGCAAGACAATAAACAAAAACTGTTGCTCTTAGTTTCCTTCCTTTCGGAGAATCTTGTTGGTTATCAATATGTTGCTGTTAATTTGTATGTTCTTGAAATGTTAGCTATACTATGTATCATGATTCATGGTTATACATGTAAGGATGGACCTTAGTAACTTGAGGAGTGTGTTGAAGATACAATTTAAATAATTAAGTTCGTTTTCTCTCTTTAGATGAGATGATTCGTCTAGAATTCAAATATCGTGGCCACCTCTTCATGAAAATTTAGCATGTACCACATGCAGTGACCAAAAAATGAATTCAGGATGCATATGAAGGGGGCGTGTTCAAGATATAATGGAATAAATACATTTACTTTTCTCTTTGACAGCATAGACTTTTGGATGAGGTGGTTCAACTTATGGAACTTATGTTATAAGTTGGCAAATAATTATATCACCGTAAATTGATTTGGGCAGAATAACGTTGTACACAATGAATGCTATAAAATGTAAATGGTCGAGGCAAGAGTTCGACTATTTCTCTTTAAGACGATAATGCCCTGCATTGATGCTGACGGTATTCCGACACTCGTCTCCCAATATACAACATGTTGCCTTTCACCAGTTCTCCCCAAAAGAGCCGCGTCATTAGCCCCAAAAAATATAGTGGTAGCGACCGAAGGCGTTGCAGATCCCTGCCAATCAGTCAGAAAAGATCCCCACATTGAGATCAAAAATTGAAATGAAGTATAAGAAACTGAACCAACATTAAACTGGGGTTAAAGTCTCCATTAACAAAAAGAAAGGTTTCTAAAAGGTATTTACTTATCACTACACCCTCACACTGAGGTGCACAGAATCAGGAAAGTAAAAAACGAAAACGCTAAGGAACAAAACAAAGATGATACAAAAATAAAATTAACTTCATTGTGCAAAATTCAACAAGAATAAAGCGAAAAAAAATAAAGCTCTGGACAAATTACCATAGGAAAAAGGTGATTCAACAAAAATAAAGCCCACTTGGTGTTGTACCCACCATAACCACGTACCACAACATAAGCCTACAACATCGAACAGGTAAATTATGCATATCAAAGTGAATAAAAAATCAACTGATTTGAAATATATAATTAAAAAAAAATTAATTAAATGAAAAATGAAACCTTGCGAGAGTAAGTATCAGCAAGAGCAGCACCCCAACCGCCTAATATGAAAGATTGCTCTATAATTGAGTCCCCAAACAACACTATTTGAGAACGCCATAAAACTCATTTACGGCATGCATTTTAGCAACTGAAAAAAGAAGTGAAGCTAGACATGTCACCTTCCAAAACTTTATGGTTTTGTCGTAGTGGACAGAAGAAAAAGCACACCATTAGCTACCTGGAACCACTCAGTTAAAGCCTTGTTAGACAGACATAAGAAAAATGGTAAGAATGCTATCAAATTAATTATTTCCAGAGATGAGCGTATAATGAAAAACACCAACTTCGTCTTGGAAGAGAAATAGTGTACAGTACTAATATTTGGAGTTATTCCATGTATTGTCAGTCATCGTTTGAGGGACAAGTGACTGTTGACTATTTCAAAAATTTCAAGTTCTACTGAAGTTTGAATGACCAACATCAATTAAGATGGTCGCAGGGAGGATAGGCAATTTTTTACCCCTGAATTTCAATTACTTTTAAGCCATTTCAACAACCCAGAAGACTTATAATAGATGTTACTATGTCATATTTGTATTCAAATTCACATTGTCTTAAGCAGAACCACTCGGTCTTAAGTCCACCCCTTGTGTAAAGCAATCCTCCTAAATCACCACTGAACATGAATTGAGGATAAAAGACTATGGAATAGTAATCACAATATAGGGGCATCTGTTAAGGCAATTAAAATTTGTGCAACCAGAATACTACAAAGAAAACTAACTTATTGGGAAATCACCTTATAGCTTTTGTATTGATGACACAAACTGAAGTAAGTGGGCCAGTATGCCCTTCTAATACATGTGTACATATTCCAGCATCTTCCCATATCCTAAGAGGTATCAACCAAATATAATTGCAACGTCAAATTCCCAATTATAAATAATTACATAGAAAATAACAATGATTTATCGATTGACATATATATAGTGTTACCTTCCCAAACCATCATAGCATCCAGTCAAAATGTACCTGTCACAGAAAATACAGAGAGGTTCACCACATTGCTGATGTTCAATAGTACTATGAAAAAAGCAACAAACACCGCTTCTTACACACACTTACAGCAGAAATGCCTTCTGAAAGAAGAAAATCTTCAAACAACATTTGAAGAAATTTTCCATCGATTAGGAAATCAAAATGCTGGTACTTCCAATCATTAACTCCTGTACCTCAATGGAATAAAAATCAGAAAAAAATCAATATAATTTAGGTGCTTCAAGTCTGGTAACGAAAAGCAAGCAAAATCAATAAATCCCTTCCTCACCCTCTCAAATCTACCTTCCCAATCCTCCGACCACCGCCGCAGAAACCCATCACCACCACAACAAACTGCTCCTGCACCCCAACCTCTACCACTGACCGCCTAATCTCCGCCGCATCCTACTTCCTCCCCTTCTTCAACGGCGTCCAATACGGCCGCTTCCTCTTCACCAAATACCCACTCAATTCCCTTCCAACCCCTCCATATGGAGTCTTCCCAAGAACACTACTCACAATCCCATAAACAAAACGAGCCACCACAAATGTAAAAATCCCGAAATGTGCCCACCCCGTTTATCTTCAGCCCGATTGCGCTTCGACCAAGAGAAATTATCCTCTGTACAAGCATTGACACCACAAGCAGTACGTCGAGCACCAATGCCTGAAGGGCGAAGGATTTCAGACGATGCCCAGATAAAGGGTGAAGAAAGAGATGAAGCTGGCATAGGGGATGGAGTGGTAGAGAGATAGGAGAGGGAGGAGGGGCTGGAAGGGAATTGATAGAGAGAGGCGGATAAGAGGGAGTGAAGCCATATTCGGTGGCGGTGGGTTGGGGAATTAGGGACGCTTTGTACCATGGAGGAGCTGGGTTGGGGGAGAAATGAAATGGGTTTTAATTTTGCCAATTTCCAACTTTTTGCTTTTTTTTACGGCGTGCGTGTTTGCACGCCGCAAATAATAGGACCAAACAAATGGTTTTTCACGGCGTGTACAAATGCATGCCGTAAATAATAAGACCAAAAGATTTTTTACGGCGTGTAAAAATGCACGTCGTAAATAATTTTTTTGCATTTTTACGGCGTGCAGTTGCACGCCGTACATAATTGTTTTTACGGCGTGCAAAAATGCACGCCGTAAATAATAGGAATAACTGGTTTTTTACGGCATCCAAAGAATGCACGTCATAAATACTTTATACAATTGATCATTTACAGCACGTATTTTTTGCACGCCGTAAAAAGTCGCTTTTTACGACATGCGTCAATTGCACGCCGTAAACATAAGCAGTAAAAAGCTATATTTGTTGTAGTGTTTTCAAGGTCCAACTTTAGATAGGAGTTTTCTCTGTGTGTGTGTATATATATATATTAGATAGAAATTTAAAGTTACTAATTCCATCAAAGTTATTGTCTATTCTTTCTTGATTTTCTTTAACATTACCATATATACTTTTTCATAAGGAAAAACAATGTGATTATTTACTATCTGTGTTTAGCATGCAATACAGATATATTTTTTCAAATGTGCTAAATCAAGCCCAAACTGACTTAACCAGCTGAACCGACCAACTTTGATTTATATATATATATATATATAGATTTCTCTAATTCTTTGATTCTAAACGGTATTTGTGCACTAATCAACATTTCGCGATCTGTGTGTAATTATTCTTATGCTTCAGTCTGCGTCAAAAGAACTTGATGTAACTGATAATGGTCCACATTC